CAGTCAGTTCTGCTGGAACCTGGCACCTTGCCTCCCAACCCCAACACACTCCATGGTCTCTGCATGCAAATGGAGAAGTGAAGGCCTGTGGGAACAGGGGTGAGGGGGGAAAGAGGAGGGGGACTCTGCCTGGGCTGTGGGACGGTAGAGGAATGGAGAGATCCCAGGGCACTTGTCTAGCCCCCGTGCTCCTCCTCTGGCCCTGAAGAGGAAGGGTTAATCGACTTTACCTCCCACCCTCCCTCTCCTCCCTCAGGTCACCTTCTCAGCCCTGGAGACTTGGCTGGTGGCTCAAGTTCCTCAACCAGTGGCCCTGAGTAATCAGAGCACACAGAGGGGCCAGGGGCCTGGGAGTGGAGAATGTCAATTGGGGGCAGAGGGAGCCTCAGGACTGAGGAGCTGGCGGTGGAGGGGGTCTGTGAGGCTGAGGGTTTGGGGAGTACCCCAGGTTCTTTCCCAGTACTCCTCACCCGACCCAGGCCCTCCTGCCCCCCCCCCCCCCCCCGCTCTGATCTCAATTTCTTCCACCCATCAGGGGAGAATTCCTCGAGCTCCTCTCCTGGACTGTTGGGGGGTGGGCAAGCTTGGAGAGGTAGTGGGGAGCTGCCAGGAAGCTTTTCAGCTGCAAGAGATGGTGTCCCTCCCCCCAGTGCCGGGAACTGGCCACAAATGGGTCTGTGGTCAGTGAGAGACCTCTGCTAATGGAACCTGGGCTGCCCCACAAGCCACAGAAAGGGGAGGGGGAGGGCAGGCCTGGGGAAAGTGACCTAAGTGCAGCTCAGCATGGGGGAGGGTGCTGACCTGAAGTAGAGCTGAGGGTCAGGGGAGCGAGGGGAAGAGAAATGGGGGTCAGGGACTGGTTGGAGGGAAATTGGGGGTCAAAGGAGTGACTGCAGGGGAATCGGGGCCCAGGGCAGTAACTGAAAATAAATTGGGGTCCAGGAAGTGATTAGAAGGGAATTGAGGGGGTCAGAGAGATAATTAGAGGGGGACTGGGTCTAAGGGTATATCAGGGAAACCTGGGGTCAATGAAATAATTGGGGAAGATTATAAGTCAGGGGATTAGAAAGGAATCAGGGGTCTGAGAGAGTGCCTTCAAGATGTTGGGGGCTCGGATATCCCAGAGGAATAACTGGACCAGGAGAGAATAAGGGAGGGAAGCCAGAACTGGAGTGGGGAAACTGAGGGAAGAGATTGTAGATGAAAGAGCAAGAACATATGTGTTGGGGCCGGGGAAGGTTGTTGGGGTTTGAGGTCATCCTGGCAGTGGGCACTGAGGCCTGTGCTGGGCCCACCTTACCTCAGGAAGATGGGGACCAGGAGCCCCAGCCCTAGGCTGGACCCCTGGGGTCCTACAGGGCTTTCCAATCTGTCTTCAACCCTCTCTTTCCTGCGGGAGCTGGTGACAGGAAAGGAGCTCCACACCCCCCTCCTCTCCATCAGCCTCACTTTCTCACTGCTATCAATTATTCATCAGCCCAGAGGACCGCCCTCCCTGGCAGGCCAGGCTGGTCCTCCTCTCCATGCCCCACCCCGCTTCAGCCACATTGCCACAGAGGCCCCGGCGAGGAAGGACAGCCAGCCTAGCACGGAGACCTAGCAGAAGAGCTAGGTGACTGGCACTGCTGGACCCTGCCTGGGGTCACATCCCATCCCCACGGCACCTTCCCCCTTCTCTTGCCAATACCCTGGTGCCAGGAAGCCCCCAGAGAAGATGCCCATCCAGATCTTCTGCTCTGTGTCATTCACCTCTGGAGAGGAGGCTCCAGGGCCCTTGGGAGATGTTTGGGGTCCCCACCAGCAGCAGCAACAGGATAACTTAGAATCTGAAGAGGAGAAAGAAGAGGAGAAGGAAAAGGAGGCAGTGAAGGAGGAAGCCAGTGAGGGGGATTTGCCTATGGACTTGGTGGCCTTTGCCAACAGCTCCACCCTCCACGGTGCCAGCCATGTCTTCGTGGAGGGGGGTCTAGGGCCGAGGCAGGCCCTGTGGGCGGTGGCCTTTGTCCTGGCACTGAGTGCCTTCCTGTGCCAGGTAGGCGACCGTGTTGCTTATTACTTCAGCTACCCACACGTGACTCTGCTAGACGAGGTGGCCACCACGGAGCTGGCCTTCCCGGCGGTCACCCTTTGCAACACCAATGCTGTGCGGCTGTCTCAGCTCAGCTACCCTGACTTGCTCTACCTGGCTCCCATGCTGGGGCTGGATGAAAGTGATGACCCTGGGGTGCCCCTTGCCCCACCGGGGCCTGAGGCCTTCTCTGGGGAGCCTTTTAACCTGCACCGATTCTACAATCGCTCCTGCCACCTGCTGGAGGACATGCTGCTCTATTGCTCCTATCGCGGGGGGCCCTGCGGCCCTCATAACTTCTCGGTGGTGAGTGGAGGCCCACGCCTGACACAGCACTCAAGGGTGTCTGCCACGGCTCATCCTGACCATCACCTCCTGGGGCTGGTGACCGTGCCACCCCCCCCTCACCTGGCCTACCCACCCTGTGTGGCATGCCCCAGAGAGGCCTGGGCAGAGCTTGCCCGGTAGCCTCAGGGTCTGGCACTAGGCTGATATTCCCAAATCCACATCAGTACTGCTTTCCTGATTGGAACCTTGAAATACATCAGTACTGGCTGGTAACTAGCTGCTGCCCTGAGGCACCTGGTGTTTCCCTGAATATCCTCCAGCTTCTCCGGCCCTTCCCCAGACCTTGCTGTGACCAGCAGGACCCCAGACCTTCCTCCACCTCTGAGATGTTGGTAGGTGCCTGCACCTGACCATTTGTTAACTATTTTAACTATCACCCCCGGACTGGAGGTGGGGTGGGTGCCATCAGGTCTGTGGAGCTACAGGATGAGGAAATGGAGGGGGCAGGGCAGCAGGGGGGACAGCCCCCACCTCCACCCCACCATGCCCCTCATCAGCATGTCAGCAGCTCCCACAGCAGTGAGCACCCTTACTTGTTCTTCCTGTGCTCCCTGTTGCTGGATGTGTGTGTGTGTGTGTGTGTGTGTGTGTGTGTGTGTGTCTGAGGTGAACAACAGGCCTCCTCTAAATCACTTCTATTCCCCCCAACTCTGACCATGGAGCCAAGGACCTCTTCCTTGGGGAGGTCAGCACTGGGAGAGTCTGCCTCCCACTCAGCCCTCCCACCCAGGGACGTAGGGCCTTCCCTACTGAGGGACTGGCCAGCACTCCAACCTCTCTCCAATCTGGCTTCTAGTTCTGTCTGGCTTGACTCCTCTCCTGCCCCCCTCCCAGATTCCCAAGGCCTTCCCTGCCCCATACACTCATCTTTTAGTCCCTCGCTTCTCCCTAGGGTAGGAGTACATGGATATCATCATATAGTGCATCGTGGACTGACTGCAGACACAAGGAGGCATGGGAGATTTTGGTTGCTAGACTTCAGGCAGGCCAAGAGATATAGGAAGATAGGAGAAGAAGGGTTCCTCTGGGCCCTAGAGCAGACACTTCTCACCCACAACCACCAGATGGCAGCAGCAAACCTCTGCTTTGCAGCACAGCTCTCCGAGCTAGGGCTTGCAGCCAGCATTAACCATCTCAAATCCTTCAAATCTGCAGATGGAGCGTAAAGCCTGGGTGTGGGGCCAGCCTGGAGCCTGGAGCTAAGTGTCACAGGACCTGGTAGTGGGGCTGAGGGATTTGAAGTCCTCAGAGTCATCTCTCAGGCTCATTTCTCGACCTCACGCACAAAATGGGAGAGACCAGAATGTTTTGTTTTCTGGAGGGGGGTGGAGGAAGCTGTCCTAGAAAGGGGGTGAGACAAAGACTATTTCCTAGCTATCCCCATCCCCAACCCCTGCTCAATTCTGCCCTGAAACTCTTTGTCTCTCCTCTCTGGGCCATGTCTGTGCTCACTTTATGATTCGCTTTGTGGACTTGGTCACCATCCAGCAGTAGTAAAATCACACCCACCCACAGTAGTAAAAGCTGTGGTGAAAGGGCCATGAAGAACTGGCTCACTTTTCTCTGTGTGGCTGTGTAATCAGAGATATGATAAGGGCTGCACTGGGGCATGGAGTGGGGAGAAAGTTGGGGAGCCTGCCTCATGGCTGAGCGCTCTTCTGAGGCCCCCACAGTTCTGCAAAGGGATGACCAAATGTGCCATGCTTTGGGTGGTCTGTCCCAAATGCTAGGCGAAGCAGTGCTGGAGCTTAGGTAGGCATGGTCCTTGGCATGGCAACTGGGTCTACTTTGGAGCTCTAGTGCTTGTGGGACAATGATGAACATAAGGAGCTAATAGCTGGAGAAAACCAAAAAGCTTAGCTTAGTTTGGAGGATGGTTTTGGGGACAGTAGGATTTCAGATTCCTGGGGTGAAATCCAGAAGAGATATTTCAGAACGCCCCATGAGCTCGGGCCTGAGGGGAAGGGTTCAAGGAGGGACTGGAGGTCCGGCAGTGACAGTTTCTTAGTGAAGGGGGCATATATGTCAGGGTCCTGGCAGGGAAAAGCTTGCCACTCAGAGAATTCAATGATAGTTTAACAACGGACTGCTTACAGAGTTGTGAGCAGGGTTAAGGAAACCCATGAGGGAGGCTGAGCCACTAACAATAGTGGGAAATTGTTACCACCTAGTGGCTGAAGGAGCACAAGGAGGAAACAGTGCTATGGAGGGAGGCCTCCTGGAAGGATCTATAGACACTGATGGTGAAGCCACTACCAAACTACAGAGCGGTGAGGGATGGGGAAGGATAAGTACCCGATCTCTCTTTCCTCCCATCCTCTGATTCCCTTCTGATGCCTCCCATTGGCCAAACCCAACCAGAAGCCCATCCAGGTGGCGAAGGAGCTCAGGGATCAGCTTTCCAGGGCACATAGCAGTGCAAAGAAGGGTGGAGAATGGATGGGAGAGGGGTGCAAATGGAGAATGAGTTGTACAGGAGGAATTGTTCCTGAAGGGTGTTGAGATTCTAACAGCTCGGGGGGTCTGGGGACTTGGTGGGTAGGGGTGCTGGCAGGACTTCAGGCTCTCCACTCTACCCCAACAGGTCTTCACGCGGTATGGGAAGTGCTACACATTCAACTCAGGCCGAGATGGGCGGCCACGGCTGAAGACCATGAAGGGTGGGACAGGCAATGGGCTGGAGATCATGCTGGACATCCAGCAGGACGAGTACCTGCCCGTGTGGGGGGAGACTGGTACGTCATCCTCCTCAGGGGCCTCCTGGTCCTGGGGTCTGTTTCTCATGGCTCCCGGCCCCAGCCTCAGCTAAGGAGCTCCTGGGCTCCACTGTGGGGCCTGAGGCAGAGATGGGGTCCTCCTCCCTTCCTCCCAGCATCTCACCATCTCCGTCTCCGACTCTACCTGTCTTCCACACTCGCATGTCTCTGGCTCCCCCTTCCTGGCTCAGTTACTCTCCAAGGTAACCAGCCATCCTTTTCCATCAGTGGCCGCCACTCACTCTATAAATAACTCCCTCTCTTCTCTGGCTGCCTGCTGTCTGTCTGGTCTCAGGGGCCTTGGGGCAGAGAGAGATAAAGGAGAAGGGAGGAAGGGAGGGAGGGAGATGGAGAGAGTCTGAGACAGTGACAATCTGCAAAAAAGAATCTGAAACCCCCAGAATGTATAACAGAAGCCAGGTAAGAAAGGAGGCAACTAGGATGCAGGGGTCATGGAGCAGCAGGGGGCTGGTGGACCCAGAAGGAGGCTGGAGTGGGCTAGGACCCTACAGACCTCCCAGCCACAGCATATGCTGTGCTTATTCCCAGGAGATGTAGGATGTCCCCAGCTCTGAAGGAGACTAGGGAGTCTGAAGCCCTCCCAACATACACACCCCTCATTCCTATAGATGAGACGTCCTTTGAGGCGGGCATCAAAGTACAGATCCACAGTCAGGATGAACCTCCTTTCATCGACCAGCTGGGTTTTGGTGTGGCTCCAGGGTTCCAGACCTTCGTGGCCTGCCAGGAGCAGCGGGTGAGAGGGCCACGGGAGGCTGTCCCCAGGGTGAGGTGCTGAGGGGTCACAATGTTGTGGTGGGTGATCAGTAATGGGAGGGATGGGTGAGCTAAGGCCTGGGTGGCCATCTGGCTAGTCAGAAGCATGAATGATCTAATGAACGGGAATGCTCTGTAAACTCTGAGGCCTTCAGAGCCTGCAGAGGGAGAGGGGGCAGGACTCCTGAGTTCTGAGTCTTATCAGAGAAGCACATCAAAGTCACTTGGGAGAAGTCCCCACACACCCCAGCTCCCTGGCTCTCCCAGCAGCTCATCTACCTGCCCCCACCCTGGGGTACCTGCAAAGCTGTTACCATGGACTCGGATTTCTTCGACTCCTACAGCATCACCGCCTGCCGCATTGACTGTGAGACGCGCTACCTGGTAGAGAATTGCAACTGCCGCATGGTACACATGCCAGGTCAGGCCACAGAGCTCCAAGCACAACCCTGGGGCCCCTTAGCCTGCCCTACCCTTCATCAGCTTCCCACACATCAACCTCCTGCCAACCTGGAAGCAAGACCAGCTGGCTTCTCCCTACCCCATTTCCAGCCCCATTCCATACCCATCTGACTCTTGTCTCTCTGACCTCAATTCCTGCCTGTAACAGGGAAGGATTGAGTCCACAAGAATGGGTCCGGGAGGGATGGATTGTGTGTGTGTGGTGGGGGGGGGAGGGTCAATCCGGGACAGACTGGGAGTTGGCTAGTCCTACCCTCTAATCCTCTGTAAGCTTCTACCTTCTAGGCCTTTGGTACTACCACCACCACAAGACCCCTTAATCTCCACCCTGCACCACTGTCTTTTCTCCTCTGTAGGGGATGCCCCATACTGCACTCCAGAGCAGTACAAAGAGTGTGCAGATCCTGCTCTGGGTGAGTGCCCCTGCCCTAGACAGTCCAGGGAGGTGCTGCCAACCACCTGCACAGATATTTCAGATCAAGTTCCCAGAAACTTCAAATGACTCGGACCAGGCTTCACCCTCCCGTGTGTCTGACTTTATCAAGGCCAGGCACAGCATCTCTAGAAGGCCCCTATGAAAAATTAGTGGGGGTCACCTAGGAGGGGCCCTCACCCTCACTCATCAGCACCTCAGCTGGTTGATCCCGGAGGGCCCTGAGGGAATGAGATACAGGATTAAGAAGTATCCATGGAGAGGCTGGGAGAGGATCAGCAATGGGTGGGCACAGGGCTGAGGTGAAGGGCAGGGCAGGAAAAGAGACGGGGGCCTAGGGTTCCCTTGCCAAAGGCGTTGGGAAGGTGCTGGCAGAAGAGCACCACTCACCTCGCGCCTCCCATCTGGCTCGGGCACAGACTTCCTGGTGGAAAAGGACCAAGAGTACTGCGTGTGCGAAATGCCCTGCAACCTGACCCGCTATGGCAAGGAGCTGTCCATGGTCAAGATCCCCAGCAAAGCTTCAGCCAAGTACCTGGCCAAAAAATTCAACAAGTCTGAGCAGTACATAGGGTAAGGGCTCTGACTATGACCTTAAGCTGGCGACTGTGAAGGGTATGAGTGGTCTGATGGGAGGCAGGCGGAGAAAGCTGAGATGACATGGGGAAGGCCCAAAGAGACTGGGGTGGGCATAGACGGAAGATCAAGCGAGAATAAGCAGGAGGAAAGCAGCTTTCTTCTCTCCCTGCTTGGTCCTCTGTCTTCATCCTCATTGCTATAAGTGTGATCACCTCACACTTCCCAGTGTACACAGTATCTTTTTGTACACAACATATCATTTAATCGTCAACAAACCTACAACGCAGGTATCTCCATTAGCATCTCATTTTATATATATGGAGACTGAGATTCAGAGAGGTTAACTTGCTAAGGTCACCCAACTAGTAAGGGGCAGAGATATGACTTGAACCTAGGTCTCCTCCCCCAACCCCACTGCAGGGAGAACATCCTGGTGCTGGACATTTTCTTCGAAGTCCTCAACTATGAGACCATTGAGCAGAAGAAGGCCTATGAGATTGCAGGGCTCCTGGGTGAGCTACTGATGGCACCTGTTCCCTTCCCGTGCCGTGGACATGGCCTGTCTCCCCACCACCCAAAGCAGGGTGCTCACCTCTGTCACACGAGGCTCCCCTGCCTCAGAGGCCTTTCCCCAAATCCTGTTGTCTTGGTATATGGTGAAGAGAAGAGGCTGAGCCTTCTCCCAAAAACCCACTGCCGTGGAATCAATTCTGACTCACAGTGACCCGATAGGGTTTCCAAGGCTGTAAATTTCTACAGAAGCAGAGGCCATATCTTTCTCCCACAGGCAGGGCCGACCTTTCTGTTAGCAGTCGATCACTTTAACCACTGCGCCACAAGGGCTCCGAGCCTTCTCAGGACAAAGTAAAAGGCCTGTGCGCATAAGCGCCAGGCAGGGCGTGGATGTGGGTACTATTTTACATATCCCTGAAAGTTGGCCCAGACACTAAGAGTGTTCAGTTATTTTATAAACAATTGTTTTTCCTGAAATAATACCTGTTCATTTTAGAAAAGTAGAAAAATGCAGAAAAGCATAGGGAAGAAAATAAAAATCCCTCCGGAAGCTGGCTTTGTGCTCCTTCTGTACGAAGGCTGCCAATCCCCTTGCGAATACCACCTGCCCACCCCTGTCCCAGTGAGCCCAGCCTGTCCCCACAGTGTTCGGACCCCACTGACCTCCCCGCCGCTCCTGTAGGTGACATTGGGGGCCAGATGGGGCTGTTCATCGGCGCCAGCATCCTCACGGTGCTGGAGCTCTTTGACTACGCCTACGAGGTGAGCGAGGCAGGAGGTGGGGTGGGGGGGCGAGGGGTGGGGCCACGGGGCAGGGTTCCAGCCCTCCCACCCCCACCTTGCCCTCTGGTTGCAGGTCATTAAGCACAAGCTGTGCCGGCGAGGGAAATGCCAGAAGGATGCCAAAAGGAGCAGTGCGGACAAGGGGGTGGCCCTCAGTCTGGACGACGTCAAAAGACACGTGAGGGAGCAAGCGAGGGGCACCCTCCGGCCCCACCCGCCTCCCCCACCGCCCCAGGACCACCCCCCCTTGGTCCCTTCTCTCCTTTGCCTCCCCCATGCCCGAGGGCCACCAGTGGCTCTTCCAATAACCAATCCGTATCCTGTGCCCTTCCCCTAGAACCCGTGCGAGAGCCTCCGTGGCCATCCTGCCGGGATGACTTACGCTGCCAACATCCTACCTCACCATCCGGCCCGAGGCACGTTCGAGGACTTTACCTGCTGAGCCCTGCAGGCCACTGTACCAAAGGCCTAGATGGGGAAGGCTAGGAGAGCAAGGGGGCCCCCGTTGCCCCCATCTGTCCTGGGGACTCACCTCCCACTCCAAGGGCAGCCCCCCATTCCTAGGCAGTCCTTTCCTCCATTCTGGTGGTGAGGAAGCAGTCTTGACCTTAGGGTCTTCTCCCCGCCTCTATCCCATTCTTTTTATTTTTAACAAAACTAATCTAAAAGAGATACTAAAAAGAGAGAAAGGGGCAAGGGACCTCAGGCTGCCCCTCTGCCCCATGCTGCCTCCCCCAGCTCCCAGCCTGAATTCTGTCTGTCTGGCTGTCTGTCATCTGAGTGTCCACCTACATTTGCTCCCACCAGTCACCAAAGTCCCCTCCCAGTGGGGGGGTGGAGGGGATCCCCCAGGGTCTGTAATTTTCCCCAAACCAGAGAATGTACCTTGAGGGGGAGGGCTAGTGGCGGGGGGCTTCCCCAGCCTTAAGAAACCCTCTCAGCCCAGTGACCTACCCAACCCCAAGTCTCTGGGCAGGAACTAATACCCTAGTCCCATCCTCTCACACCATGTGGAGTCTTTAGGGGGCTGGGTGGGGGAATTCCCTGAAGAAGTAGAGATGGGGGTAAGGTGTGGCCCTGGTGCTGCAGGCCACCTCCTGATACCTACAAGCTCACCCTCACCCCAGACCCGTAGCTGCTGAAGAGAAATCCCAAGAAGCAGCCCTCCTCCATTGTCCCATTAAAGACCCTGCTGGTTGGCTTCCAGCTCAGGGAGAGGGATACTGGTGGTGCCTGACCTCACTGGTCCCTCTCCCAGGAGCCCCTGCAGAGGGCTACATCCATAAATTTTCTTATGGAACTCTCCCAAGTCCTTTTCTCCAACTCTATTTGCTTCTCTCAACAACCTCATCTGCATTTTCTATTTCTATATGATACAGACTCTATATTGCTATATCTCTGTATGTACTTCTCCCAACCTTGTCTGTCTCCACCCCATTCCCTCTTGTCTCTGAGAACCACCCCACCCAAAGTTCCCACTTCTGTGTCTCTGCCTCCTCCATGGTCTCTGAATGCCTTCGCCTGTATAAAGAGTTGGACTCTCTCCCCTGGTGTCTGTACTGTGTACACACATCCTTCTGAGAAGCACAAGGAGACGACACACGCATTGTAACCTTCGCACTGTCTCGGTGGCGACATAAAGGAAGCTGTGAATCACAAGCTCTGCCTCTTTCTGGCCTCACCCTGTCCCCCTAACCCGGGCACCCTCTGTCCTCCCTGCAGCCTTAACATTCCCGTCCCCTGCTCCACCCACCCCAATGCCCTTTGCCTAGCTGACTGCAGCCTCCCCAGGGAAGGGGTTGTTACAGAGATAGTCCCTACCCAGGAGATGAAGACTGCTCTGGACACTAAGCCAAGAAGAATTCTTTTCAAGCTGGCAACCAGAGTATCAGAGACAAAAGGGAGCTGGGGATTGATAACTCCTGGAACTGGGCAGCGGGGTGCTGACAGGCAGAAGGGGAGGTCCTCAGTCAGTGGCCTTTTCCTCCTTCTGGGTGCCCTATCCCCTCTCTTCTCCTGATACCCAAGCCCAGCATTCATATTTTCTGGTGAGGTGGGCTTTGGTAGTGGGAGAAAAGAGACAGGCATAGAGGCGGAGTTGAAAGCTCTGCTGTTCTGTTCCTCCCTCCCTTAACAAAGACAACTGAGGGAGAGGGCCTGCCTCCCTCACCTCCCCACCAGGCATTCCTCCCAGGCCAGAGCCCCAATCCCTTCCTAGGCCTTTTCTGCTCAACTGTCTCTTGGTCTCCAACCCCAGGACAGGATCTGTGGGCAGGTCACCTGTGCATTGGCCTGGAGCTAGAGAATAAGGCTGTTGGATCTTTGGGAATTCTTGGTTCCTAGGAGTTGCTTAGAGACCAGACCTCCCCAGAGGGAAGCAGTAGCAAGGCCAAGCAGTGTGCACTGGATGCGGGAACAGCAGGCAGGGCTCTGGGTGACGCATGCCTCTGGTCTAATAAACTGGGTTTCAACCATCTCTTCAGTGTTGTTCTTCACTTATTTGAAAAGTAGTTAGGTCTTCCCACCAAGTGCTTAGCACTAAGTTTGGCTTATGGCCAATCAGGAAGGAGTAAGGAGAGGGTTTGAGTAGGGAGGTCCTGATCCTCTTGGGATGGGGCAGGCTGACCATCACGGGGAAGTGGTTTGAACTAGTTTGAACTATAATACTGGGGCAGGGAGAGGGAGGGGTCAAAAGCAACAAAGACCTCAAAGGGAAGTCCCACCACAAAGGATTCTTTGAAGAGCAGGCTGGATCAAAATTCAAGATAAACTGGAATGCAAAATCTGGAAGCAGGTTAGGTTAAAGGTCAGGGACAAAACTGGGCTGAAGTTCCAGTGTGAGATGGTTATTAAGGCACCTTATCCGTGGAATGAACCACGGGTTAGGAGCCAGGAGATCTGAATTCTAGGCATGACTTTACTGTAAGTGGTTGACCTTTGTCAAGTCATTTACCCTCTTTGAGCTCGGTTTTCCCGTTTGCAAAATGGAATAAACAGTGCGTTCCTCTCCTCAGCCCCGCAGAGTTATAGCGATAAGGGAATGAAACAGAAAGCAATCACGGCGCTTTGGAAAGTTAAAAGTGCTGCGCCAAGATGAAGCACTTACTCCGCCACCCTCTTCAAAGGATTAGGGCTGGTGCTGAGTCCCCAATCCAGGTCCTTCTCTTCCTCCCGTCGGCCTGGGGGCGCCCGCTCCCAGGGTATCTCTATCCCAGAGCTCGTCTCTATGGTTTTCCCTCCTGGACCGTGAAGCCGGGAGGGAGTGGTCAACACAGCCTTTTCCGCTAGTTCCCCTCACTCTAGCCCACAGTCTCGTTGTCGTGAGCCACCCTTGCTGGCCAGCCGACCGGGCAGACAGGCGAGCGCTCGGAGGGCGCTCAGGGGGGCGCGCAGGGGGCGGGGGGAGTTCCGGTTCCGGTTCTTTGTGCAGCTGCAGTGGTGGCTCCGGGGAAGATGGCGGCCCGGGCGGGTTTCCAGTCAGTGGTCCCGAGTGGCGGCGCCGGAGCCTCAGGAGGGGCTGGCGCGGCGGCCGCCCTGGGCCCGGGCGGGACTCCGGGGCCCCCGGTGCGAATGGGCCCGGCGCCGGGTCAAGGACTGTACCGCTCCCCGATGCCCGGAGCGGCCTATCCGGTGAGTGGGGCAGGAGGAGGGGCGCGCGGGTCGGGGGCGGGGCCGAGCAGGGGCCTGGGAGTGACAAGGGTGCGGGGAGAAGTAGGAGGGACTCTCCTGGGAAAGATTCTGGCCCGGGATGGGGGTGGGGAAGGCAGTTCGGAGGAAAGGAGGGGGAGCAGTTAGCATCCCTACCTGCTCCGGGCATTGTTTCCGTAGAAGTAAGGGTATAGGACCAGTGTGGATGAAGTGGGGCCACCAATGGTGGGCATATGAGATCTAGAGTGCAAAGAGGCTTGAGCAGCTCCATTGCCCAGACGAAGACAGAAGGTAGAGCTGGTAAATTGGGGTCAGCGTCTACGGAAATAGTAGCCACCAGAGTCAATGTGGGACTAGAGGAGATGTTTGATGTGTCAGATCCAAAATAGATTGGGGGGAATTTTAGTATAATTTGGCTATTTCTCAGCTTCTGGGTCATATTCTTCTGTGGAACCATGATTGGAGTGGAGGAAACCTCAGTTGCCTATATTTCAAAGAGACAGAGGGCTCTTGTCTCATTTTTCTCCACTCCCCACCCCAGTCCTGTTTCATTCAAAGAACTCAGGCACCCCGTATTTTCCTTTTCTTGGTGAAGTTAGCAAGGGAGGCCATGACATCTGTGGGTCTTCTCCCTTCTATAGAGACCAGGTATGCTGCCAGGCAGCCGAATGACACCTCAGGGACCTTCCATGGGACCCCCTGGCTATGGGGGGAGCCCTTCAGTCCGACCTGGCCTGGCCCAGTCAGGGATGGATCAGTCCCGCAAGAGACCTGCACCTCAGCAGATCCAGCAGGTCCAGCAACAGGCAGTCCAAAATCGAAACCACAAGTAAGATGACCCTGGGGCAGAGGGAGGGAGGGAAGAGGTCTGTGAGGACACAGGTGGGAGTGCTGTGAACCAAGAAGTGGTGGTGCTATGTAGGCAGTCTGGTGCTGGGGAACTCATTCTGAGACTGCCTTATGCTGCTTGGAGCGGGGGTTCTTTGATTTGAGAGAAGCTTTGCAGCCCCTCCATTTTATATAAATGGAGATGCTGAGAGCTTGTTTTCATGTTCTGACTAGTGCCATCCCAACCTAATAACAGTATTTATTCCAAACAGTGCAAAGAAAAAGAAGATGGCTGACAAAATTCTACCTCAAAGGGTGAGTCCAGGCTATAGATCTCGTTTAGGGTGTGATGAGTTTGAGAATAGAGATGGTCAGCTTTAGATCCCAATTATATCTTTCTGTTCCTAAGATTCGTGAACTGGTACCAGAATCTCAGGCCTATATGGATCTCTTGGCTTTTGAAAGGAAGCTGGACCAGACTATCATGAGGAAACGGCTAGATATCCAGGAGGCCTTGAAACGTCCCATCAAGGTAACACAGGAGAGTGCTAGGCAGATAGCCAAAGGAGAGGACTCGAGAAACTTCAGCAGCCTTCAGCAGGCTTAGGATGAGAAATTAAAGGTGCAGCACAGATCTCCTTGGCATTTAAATTGCATGTCTGCCTTCTGCCTACAAACTGACATTAGGAGCATAAGAACAGAACAGCAAGGGGGAGGAGCTCGTCGTGTCTCTTGCACCAGAAATACACCCCGTCTATGTTTTACTATAACTGCTCTGCTGCCTTTGGGACCTGGCACTCTGCATGACTTCATCCACCTGGGATCCCAGTGTATGCACTCACACTCAGGCCAATGGCCTGTACCCTTCTGGGTGGACTCTCCATTCACCCACCCCAGGGTCTGGGTAGACAGTAAGCCAGACTGTTAGGAGTAATCCTGGGGAGACCCTAGTCTTCAGCATCAAACCACTGAAGCCCCACCATCAATCTTGTTTCTGCCTTCCTCAGCAAAAACGGAAGCTGCGAATTTTCATTTCTAACACTTTCAATCCGGCTAAGTCAGATGCCGAGGATGGGGAAGGAACGGTGGCTTCCTGGGAGCTTCGGGTAGAAGGACGGCTCCTGGAAGATGTGAGTTTAAGGTCAACAGTGGTGGGTGTCTAGGGTGGGAGCTGTTGGGAATGAACAGTGTTGTCTGGTTGGCAGGAAGCCTGACTGGTGCTTACAGCTCCTGTTGGGAGCAGCAGGGAGAGGGACACTCTGTTCCCTGCACTGGAAGACAATGGTTCTTTGTGTCTGGCTCCCACAGCTTTGGCCCTCACTG